TTTGTTTATCATTTAATTCTGTACTGTCGATTAAATCTTTTTAATTCAGGCAGAATCTGCTTCTGATCGAGAGCACTTCACAAACTACTTGTCACAGGAGAACATGAAGTAGTTTCTTCTCCTTTCAGAGAAGTTCAAGACCTGTCACTTATGTTATACCATGTCGCTTATGTTATGGCCTGTCCCAGCTATCTTGACTGACACGGTTCCTTTTGATAAGACCACAAGGGCAGCCACAAAGTCCTTTCAAATGTGTAGTTTCCTTGGAGAAATCAGTAATTCCCACCTGAAATTTCTCATGAGTTTTCATTGCATCACTGATGATGCATTCTGTTTTTGGAGGAATAATAATATTATGAGCAATTATTCTGTAAAAACTTGTTTCTTTTTCATCTATCCCAAACATCAATATATCTTCATTAGTGTGCGCAATTTATTATTCTTGATATCTAAACAAAATCCATCCTTTTTTAGAAAGTCAAGTTCGAGGGTACTTGGATTGGTTATATCAGCCACAAACAGGATGAAAACTTGATATGCACCATCATTTTTCAATGCACTGGCATTTTCTCTGCATTCATGGTTTGTAGATTCAAGGATAGAGCCGTATACAGAAGGTGCCTATTCAAATCGTGGGCTGTATCTGCTCGCAGAACAGTCACATTTGCTGTGGTATTCACTGTCATTTGGGATGAAAAACCATTGATTTCTCCTTCCATTCATGGTCCTCTATCTCATCTTTTAAGAAAAGGTATATGAAGAACATTGAATAGGATCATTAAGAGGCCCGTAAGCTGAATGGGAACACTGCAACTTCTGACCGTGGAGGTGGCGGTGTACTAGTTTCTGTGATGCGCTTTCGGCATGTTTTTTGGTCTTTTCAAGTGGAAGCATATGACACTGTTTTCATGGATTTCCTTCTGTATTATGGTTCCAACATTTTTTCTTATTTTTATCATTACTGCATTTCATCTTAAAGGTTTCCATTGTCTCCACTCTTTTCAGTTCCACCACCACTTTTAGCATTGTGTCATCTGTTGTGCAGATATCCCTTAAACTGCTATCACACATCCCTTTGTTTCAGAAGAACAACTATTTGGAACAATTTTTCTGCTTTGTTACAACAGCCAATCACCACAGATCATTTTGGGGTTAATATGTGAAGGGGAAGCGGGTTCTCCATTACAAATAAGCTGATAGTATTTGAAACTGATAGCTGATTGGTTGAAAATAAACAACTTACAATTTTTTTCAAAAGTAAGAAAAAAATCGTGCGTCTTTCTTTCAATAGTAAACCAGGCAGAAAAGTTGTCCGAAACAGTTCATATGAAACAAATGCATGTGTGATATGGGCCTTACCGGTCGATGATCCTTTCTGCTGGCATTTTTTGCAGTTTTCATTTTCATGGCAAATATTAGAGCACTCTTCAGGTTTTTATTAAGTGTTATCTGGAGTGCTTGCTGTATTTCAAATCTCTGACAGCATCCACAAAATACTGGACACTCAATGTGCCTTTAATTTACACTCACAATCCAGAAAAGCTAGCTGTGTTAACTTTTCAGTGTCATTTGCCAGTTCTTGAAGGATTTTTCCTGCTTTCTGATGTTGAATCTTAAGCTGCAGTCAATGGTAATCTTTCAGGAATGTTTCTCCAAACTGCAATTCTTGCACATTAATTAAGCTGCCAATATCCAAACCTTTCTAGGTGGGAATGTCTGCAGAATGTCCACTGCCTCTCTTCGTAAACAGGCTGCCTGATTTAATGCTTTGGTGACACTATAGAACCACTAATTTGCTTGAGAAATCATCTGAAATTGTAAACACATTTCTGGATGACTTTCTGTCGTATGGTGAGAGCTTAATTGTGGGGTGAGATAACTGGAATGGAATATTATTCAAAGAAGAACGAGCTAGAATGTTCAAAGCTGGCTAAGCTAGTAAGCTGTTTGTGAATGAAACCAGTACTACAATTTTCTGGGATAGTCCTAGAATCTTTTTCTTGAGTTTTGCATTCACTGCAGAAATCTCTCTTTAAAATTTTCTTCTACAGCTGCTACTTTCTCATTCCTAGCACTAGCGATGTTACTTTCAACTGCTGCAATCCTCTCCTTTATCTCAGCGACATTAGCTTCGATAGAGTTCTTCATTTCTGCAGCATTCGCTTTTTTTGGTGATTTCATCTTTGTAAAACTTGCAGCAATTGTTTCCATTCTGGCTTTCAACCGTTCTCCCATTGTACTGGTAATCGGCATTAAGAGAAATCCCGCTTCTGATACTAGTTGTTACGAGCTACAGGATCATTGATGTTTCTTTGAATGGCAAGTCCTGATAAACAGGAAGATATAAAACAGTTTATTGGGAAAACAGGCTCAATAAATAATAAACATGACACAATAATGGTGGAAATAACTAAGAAAACATGAATATTCACCAGTTCCTCTTTAACCCATAAAATAAATCATAAAGTTCCTCAGCTCACTCTCAGTGTAAACCCTAACTCATGATTCAGCTGACTACTAAATCTTGCAGCCTACTCTCAACTAAACTCTCAGCTCCCTGACTCTTATTTATACTCGCTCATGTGTGGCGCGTTATAATCATCTTTGGTATGCGCCAATAACCTCTCACTCTCTCACTCACTCACTCACTTACTCTTATTTATACTCTGCAGCAGGTGCTCTGGAAGCTTTTGAAAGAACCAGTTGTAGGGTTTTGAAAATGTGTTTTTCACATTAGATCATCTATAATTCTGTTCAACAAATACACTTAATACACTTAAATACAAGATGTGACCAAAAACTAAATTAAATGCAAACCATAAAATTGATATTCTAAAAGCAATACAGTCAAAAGTCTTTAATCTGGACCCGTCAGGACTTCAGCGATTCCGGATTATCGGTTTTTCCGGATTATAGATCATCAGTTTAAATCTGGTAAGATGGCATACAAAAATTATAAAATTAAAAGTATGAAACCGTAATTAATGAAATAAAGAGCAGTTATGATCTAAAAGATATCAAAATTTACAAAAAAAAAAAGCTTAATGTTTATTTGTTTACTTTATTAAACATTTCTTTTAATGCGCGCATACGTAAAGCATACATAGTCAAAATTAGAAAATTGCAACCAGAAAACTATTTGATGTGTATTCGTGATATTTATAATGACGAGGAATTTGATTTAAATCATATCAAAGACGGAGTACATCGAGATGAAATACTACATTTAGTAAGGAATTATAAGCCGAATAAAATAAAAACATCTGCCCTGAAGATAAGGATAGTGCTGACAGATCAACTTCCAGTTCATTGCATGCCGCGACGTCCCCCCCCCCCGCAGAGCAAGCATGAAATTGATAAACAGATTTCGGAATGGTTAGAGAAACAAAGGATATATATGCCTTTATCCATTTTTTGCAGCAATTACACTTTTTGTTTCATGGACATCGAAACATGCTTTCGCTTTGTAGATCCTTTGGCAGCTCCAAAATCAGACATTCTTTTTTACATAATCGAAAGTTCAAGCCTACTTTTATAAAATTGCTCTAACAATCTGCAAAAAAATAATAAGCCAGATCCAATTAGAAGATTAAGGAACAACGCAATCTGCAACATTAATTGAAATAGATAATTAGATAATTTTAGCTTAGCTTATACCATTCGTTATACATTAAACACACATGCGTAAATGTATTATGCTCACGCAAAAAGGTATTACGTGCATTATGTGTTTACGCATGCGCAGAAAATTTGTAGCTTTGAGGTCCGGATTATGGACATTCGGATTAAAGACTTTTGACTGTACAAAGTATTTCCAATACAGAAAAACAAAAATTCAATAATAAAGGAAATATTTACAAATATTTATTTGTAAATATTTCCTTTATTATTGAATTTTTGTATTATTGAATTCCTTTATTATTCAATAATAAAAGAAATATTTACAAATATTTATTGATCTTGGAAATATTTACAAATATTTCCAAGATCAATAAAGAAAATAAAAAATCAAAATACTTTAAATTATAAACTAAGATATATACAGTAGACCAAATCAATTGGGACGAGACCCCATTCGGATACCCAAAAATTCGGTTAATTGGATTTTTTCTGAAGAAAAGTTCGACGTACACTTTAATTAATTACTGTATGTTGGAAATGGGAGAAAAAACTATTTTTTAAAGAAAAAGAGGTTTTAATTAATTAAAATGAAAGGGCAGTACTATGTATATGTTATATATCATACTGTACAGTACTTACAAGTGCTGAAAGTCATTGCTTGCTGAACATCTTGGTCAAAGTAAGCTGTTTGATTGTATTCATCCGTTTTTGGGCAGCCGAGTCGTACATCAGCTTGACAATGAGGAGTTGCATGGGTTCACACTTGGGTGATGCTCCATCCACTTCAATGCAGTTTCAAGGCCAGCAAATGCTTCACTAGCTGAAGGTCCCATGTCTGCTTCGACTTCGACATTAACATCGACATCTACTTCCTCGACACTTATTTTTGTCACACTTTCAATAAGTTCATCATCATTTAGGATTTGAAACCCAGGTCTGACGAATCGAACACCATCCGTTCTCCTGTATCCTCAGCACTAACCTCTGAACATTCAGGAATTTTCAAAAAAATGCTTCTTAATTCCTCAAGCGACACGTCATTCTCATATATTCCTGTCTCTTCCTTATCGCTTTTCTTAAATTCTGAACGTGATTCGGATAACTGGAGTTGTACTGTATAACTAAACCTAGTGACAAATATCTAATGACCGGATACAAGCAGTTATGCCATTCAGGATGTTTTTTAATATTAAATTAATTTTTATTGTTAAATTTTTAATTTTGCAACATTGTATCCGACATTAATTGTATTTATTGATTAAATAGTCTTTTTATCTTTATTTATATATTGATTAAATAGTCTTTTTATCTTTATTTATATATTGATTTATAGAGATTTTGATATCTATACAAATAAATATGTATATATTTTCTTTCAGCCTTATGTGTGGATATATGATCCCATACCTCTACGTACATGGATTACAGGAACACTAATGGGTAAGAATGTAAAAAGATTTTTTTTGTATTTTTTATCAGATGTAATAAAAGCAACAATGTCTGTACCTATAGTTATCAATTCTCTCTTAGTAAACCCTGAAATCTCATGGCTTGCAATTTTTAGCCTTTACTAACGAAAGGTTTCCAGCGATAAGTGAAATTTACTGAATTACCGAAACTTAAATTGTGAAAAGTTCATTCCTTCAGCTGCACTGATATTCAATACAATTTATCTTATTAAATTTTATTGGATCTACTAATTCTAAACTAGTTATAGGTTTAACTTTTTATGCAGATTTAATCAATCAGTAATATTTAATTTGTTCTTGCAAACTTGCTTGACTTTGCTTTTTTAAGTTCTGTGGATTCACGTTGATTGAATAATTTGGTTGTGAGTTTTTTGTTTGTTTGTCTATTTAGTTATATGCTTTTACTCTTTTCTGTTACTCACAATTTTTCTTCTACTATTTAAAATGTCTTAATTATTTTTCTATTCAAGTTATCTTGTTTTCCAATTATTTTTCCATTTCTAACAAAAGTGCTTCTGTTTCTTCAGACACGTCGTTTCACAATTGTTCTGCTTTTAAGGTGAAAACAGAAGTGTTACTGTGTGTAGTTCCCTTTTCTCTAGTTGAAAATTTTTATTTCTGTTTATTTACTAATTATTCTTTGTTTCTGTTTATTTACTAATTCGCTTTTATTTTGGCTCACCATTTCTAACCTGTTAGTTGTTTCTGATTTAATTGTGGCTCTGTTGACTCAAAAACAGCCTTTCTGTTTTACATTTCTTGGTGTACCAACCTCCTGAAAAAGATATACTGGGAAATGTAAATCTTGTAACATCCTATCTATTTTGTTATTAGAATATTAAAATTCGCAATTTCAAATATGTAAAAATAACGTCTTACCCATTATTCAAAATAAGTCATGAAACTTAGAATTCCATTTGAAATTGCTTTATAAATCATTACCATCCTCAGCTTCAAAATAAGGAATAATTGATTTAAATATGTTGATATTTTTCAGTGTTTTCAAATGCTAAATTAGTAATTTTGTGTTTTAACAGTTCATATGAACTTTGTGAATAGACATGCTAGAAGAGCAAATATATTATTAACCAAAAATGTGGAACCTTTTTTTATAGCTTCAAGCAGTATTGCAGTATTAGTTTTTACAGGTGAAGATATCTGGAGCAAATCCAGATATTTTTATCAATTTACATTTCAAATATGAATTGTATAGTGAATATAAAAAAAGTATGGCAACACCTAACACTCTGTAAATGTAAACATTTCTGAGCTGAGGACATCCACAGCCCTCACTTTTTTTTTTTTTTTTTTCTGTTAGCCTTTTCTAATATCAGATTTTTGGTTTTAATCATTATATTTGGTAACACTGTGCTCTTTCGTGACTCTTACTAAAAACACATCTGAATATTTTTTAGTTACACTGTCTGCTTGCATAGCCAACTGCTAAAATCGTTATTCTAAACTCATAAATAAAGAAAATATATTGATTTTAATGAGCCCAGCTAATAATTCACAGTACTGGAGTTGAAGAATTCTCTATTTATTGTTTTTAAAATTTTAGTTTGTCATCTGTAACAGACAGATGTAATTCAAAAGAAAAATTAAGTATTTTACTCCTTGCCGAATGTCAACGTACTGTCGCATGGAAGATGAAAATATTTTATTTCAGCAGTGACAACACATTTCTTGTAATTTGCTGGGTTTTCATATGTAAACATATATTTTACACATTGCTAGGGGACAACACGTATCTCTTTAATTGCTGCACTTTGAGATTAAATTGGAAACATGAATATGTTACTCTTTGCCAAATGAGAGCACATTGTTTTTAAATGGGTGAGTTTGTTAATCAAAGTTTTATTGAATCAAAACAAAATAAATTTAAAACCAAAAACATAATTCAAGCTTCACAATGTACATGTTTAAGTGGGGTGTAAATACGCATATACATTCTTTGTCGCTAAAACTCAATTCAAATCAAAATATAAAGAAATCTCACTTACCTGTCAGACGCTTCTTGCCTTTTTGATTTTCTCCATATTTTATTGATGACACAAATTAAATAATTTACAACAAAGAGAAGCACAATAAACTTTGGTAATGTTTCGGTTGGTGTTACATCTTTCGCGATCATCAAGATTCTGCACTAGTCCGAAGAATTCAAGCGCACACAGCGCCATCTGGTGCAATACAATTTCTACATGGGGAACTACATGTGTTCACAATTTGGTGCCTCTGCTTGCTGCGTTTTTGCCATAATGCGAACCCATTATGGCATATGCCCAGAAATTCGTCATTTTTTAATAACAGAGATTAAAAATTGCATGTACTTGTAAAACTGACTTCCATTTTTAATTGTTTGTGTATTGAGAAAATATTTTTAAAAAAACGTGAAGTTTCTGTATTGTTTAATAAATGCATTTTTCGTTTGTAGTTATAGCAGCTGTGCTGATATGCCTCTTCCCCCTATGGCCACAGACAATTAGGCATTATATTTATTATCTAAGTGTTGCAGCTGCATTTTTGCTTGTTTTCATCATAGGCTTAGCTGTGTGTAAGTATAATTTATTGTTGAAGTTATTTGGGCAGTATTATTATACATTCTACATTCACTTTATCATTCAAATTGTATTTTAATTTCTTTATGTTATTTGTTATTCATTTGAAGAATCTAAATAAATGTATAAAAATTATTTAAAATTGGTGTTATTATTAATAATTATTGTTACTGTTATTCATTTCTGTGGAGATTGTCAAATAGCTTCTTTACAAACAAAACTAATAACTTCGTACTTCATTTGGTCAATCTCCATTGCAAAATCGGGCAGTTTCTGTGCCTTTTTTAACAAGTTCTTAAACTTTTTGTAAATTAAAGGTACTCTATATCTTTTTCACTATAGTGTTATAAGATCATCCGATTCTTCTTTTGTAATTTCTCAATTGTTGTTCACAATTAACGCTTTGGTTTCTTGTTGTTATAAGTTTACATCTTTTCCAATTGTGGAATTCTTGAAACTCGAGGATTTACGGAAGTATCGCTCAAAGCATCGCCTCTAGACCGAATCTTAATCTTATGCTTGATTCATTTATAGCTGTTCTCTTACAAGTGATGAAACGTGTGCCATTTTTTAGCTTATCTTAAATCCCTAGCCCTGCTTGCTAGGTGCTATATTGAATTTTTTAATTGAAAAGAAATAAAAATGAAAAAGAAGAAGAGTATAAACACCGATAAATGTGTGATTACAGCTCTGCTAACATGAGCAAAATGGTTGCAACTCGGGCTAGGTCAGTCAACTGGCAGGTGGTGCCCGGTGTAGTTGCTAGATGTGCTGTTTTAAAGAGTGCGTTGCTGTGGCCATGTTGCCAATGTTCTATAGCAGTGATGGCGAACCTATGGCATGCGTGGCACAATCAGCATGCAGAGCCTCATCAGCTGGCACGCGAATAAAATATTATTTCCTTAATCAACAATCACAAAATGATACTATGCAATTTAAAAAAGTGTTTTAGTCTGTTCTTGAATGTTACTTATCACATAATGCCACTGGCATAGGACCTAAGCCTAGATGTAAGATTTTCATATATTGCCGAAGAAGTTATATCCATATTTATTGATCCAACTTATGACAATTCAATTGTTTGGGCCAATCATATTACTTGTTATATTGCAAAGAATATGCCAAAGTTGAAGCAGCTAATGTTTGCTAAAACGAATTCAAATTTACAAAAGACTGCCGGTGAGTTTTAATACTTTCATTGCTAAATAGAATCCAGTTTCCAAATATATAAGCATTTTAAGATAACTTATGAATAATTCTAATTTAATATCTTACACAGAATGGCACGCGACCATTCCGCTTTGGGCACGCAGCCCCAAAAAGGTTCGCCACCACTGTTCTATAGCATACCATATGTGAATAAAATTTTAGTGTTGAAGAAGTGAAATGAAAACTTTTAAGGTAATGCAAGTATATGCAAAATTGCATTTCACATATCTGTATTCAGCAGCGATTTACCATTCTAATACTATATTTAAATGAATTACATTTATGTGATTTTTCTATTTAAGTTTTTTCCCCCCTTCCGTAATTACTTTAGATTATTCATTTATGTTACGATTTCCTCTGTAAAATTACTTTATATTTTTTTCTAAACTTTGTTCGAAAATCTCCTCATGAAAGTCATGAAGTTGGTAGGTATGATAATTAGTTTTTTGTTATTGTTAAAATTACATGCTAATGCAAAAATCTTGAAATCTAAATATTTTTACTCGCATGCAATACAGTACAAAGTCCAATATCTGGAATTGTTGGGAATTGGGCGATTCCAGATTTTTAAAATTTCTGGATTTTAAGTTATTGTGTTTAAATACAGTAAAAAGACATGTGGACATGGTAGCATTTGGCCTTCACTTATTGTTTAGGTCAGGCAGAAAAACGGTGATCCTACAGAACCATTCAAAGGAAGAAAGTATGATCCTGGCCCTACACCAATACATTGTCTGTTGGTGTATTGTCATTGGCCTGGCGCAACTTCTTAGCCAACAAATGCTTAAAAGTGACAGGCTGAAATCTCATTTGGGAGAAAAAAAGCAGTTTTGGTAGACGTGCTTCCTTTTGTTGAGTTTTGCTTATTTCCTTGCATATTTTCCCCTAGACTTTTTTAATATTTACATCACTTTCCCCTTTCTCAGTGCATTTAGAGAACAAAATTCCCTTAACTTCAAAATGGATTTGTCCACCTAGTGATTGTTGTTTTCGTCGTACTAGCAAAGAGAAAAACTACCTGTGAAGGTCATGCCATACTTTCCTTCTAACTGTCGAACTTTATGCCTGGTACAGGAATCAACCAACTACAGTGAAGCAAACACAAATTCGCATTTGGTCTATGATGTTGCCAAGTCAGCTATACCATTCAACTTCCCTAATTATTTGTAGATGATTCGAAACCTAAGGAGCAGCAGATACAATAAGAGTGGGTGAAATTCAAGTTACGGGGAAGTAGAAATAAAAGCATCTTATCGGATATTGTAATATTTATATCACTGTGTATTTTTATTGGAATGTAGGTTTCTTTTAAAGAACTAATATTGTAATAGTTGCTTGTAGTTTATCTACTTTTCATTTGTTATGTTTTTACTGTAGGCACGTCCTTTAGAATTAAATTATTCCCATAATTTTCTTTTCTAGATTTTCAGACAATAAAATTAGTAAAGAAAGGGGAGAATTCAGCATTTTATCCATTCCTAGCCTTTGGAGGGGTATTTTATTATTTAATGGGCGGTCCAAATATTGGATGTCCAGATTTCGGATCTTGTACTGTATTATGTGTATTAAATGATAATTTATTGATAATATCTTCTGTTCCAGTTCGACTTATTGTCTTCGTTCTGATATGGATATTAACTTTTGGAAAACACAATTTGTGGCTGTTACCAAACCTTACAGAAGATGTCGGATTTTTTGAATCGTTTTGGCCTTTATATAAGTATGAATACAAAGGAAGCAAAGATAAAGATAAGAAGGAAAACTCGAAAGACAAGAAACACAGCAATAATGATACAGTGAGTACTAGTGTGGAGGAATCTCAGAAAGAACAGGAAAAGTCTGATGCATCGAGCTCTGATCAAGACAGGAAGAATGACCAGAACCACTCTGAATCCGAGCAGGAAGAAAACGGGGGTGACAGACAGAAAGGCGAGAACGATTTCGAGTTTGTGGAGGTCGACGAAGTCAGCGAAAATAAAACAGATGATGAGAAGACGGACGAGGATCGTAAGACTAAGTGAGGCTGGCCGATGCTTAGGGAATCCTATAAATGGCATTTATTTGTGTTGACATTCGGAGGCAGTTGATATAAGAGAAGATTTAAAATAATTTATTACTATTTTTATATAAGAAAGCTTTAAATATGTTAGAACTATGCATATGTTTTTGAATGGGATGTAAAAATTTCAGTGTAAAATATATAACCTTTTGTGTTTTTCTTTTTTCTTTAAATATACATATATTTAAATTTTCTTTCATGAAAAACATTCTTTAGTAGCAGTTGCCAGAAACATCAGAAGAAACTCTAGAAAAAAGAGGCTAGAAGAAACATGTCCCCCCCACACACACTTTAGTGGAAGAAATGCAAGAAACTAATTTTTGAACTCATAGCACAATATTGTATTTATATTTTACTTACATGGAGCACAACAGCAGAAACATTCTATAACAGACTTTAAGGGACCAAAAATTTTATTTGCTGTATTTGATCTGATAAGAAAAAAAATTTTAAAAAAGATCATCTTGCAAAGTAATGTAAAAATTGATAAATTGATTGATGAATCTCACAGAAAGGGGGGTTAGTATCATCATCACATCTCCAAAAAAATGTCAGTAATAATTTTAATTTTATAAAAAGTTAATTACAGGCAATGAAATTTCTTTTTATAATTTTTTAAATAATTTTACACAAAAAATTGCTTAGCATAAAAGTCTTGGTTTAGATGCATCTCTCCAGTTGGACATTTCTGTCTAAAATATGCATTTAGAATCGAGTAAACAAATAATAATTAAATAAATGTATACTTAAGGAATAGGGCCTTGTAGTTCAAGTACCTGGGTGATAGACTGTTCTACTTGAGATAAGAATTCCGTCTTACAACTCAGTTAAAGAACCAGTTAGAAGTTGTGTCAATGAATCAAGGGTTTTTTGGCTTATTATATGATGTGGTGGGATCTCCTAAGGTATGTTTAGTGTATGTCCTAGTTTTCCAAGAACTTAATGTTGCACCAGCCTTTTGTTTATAATACAGAGAAAAGTAGGAATGAAACACAGTAACATAAATATGTTTTTCATTATTCTTATAGCCTAAACATGGATGAATTTAAGGGTTGTTGATTTTTCACTTAAAGCTGCAGAAATTCTGAAAAAATTATGTTTTTCATTATTCTTATAGCCTAAACATGGATGAATTTAAGGGTTGCTGATTTTTCACTTAAAGCTGCAGAAATTCTAAAAAAATTGTGAAAACTGTTCTGTTTCAGATATCTGCAAAGTTTGTTATATCTAAGCTTATCAGACGTCCCACTTTGCCTGAGGCTATTCTAGTTAGATGATATGCTCCCAGCATCTCAACTGGTTTGTAATTTTGTTCCAGTTATATGATAAAATTTTAAATGTACTAAATATGCAAGAAGTAAAAATAGTACAGACTTGTGTAAAATGGGGATTTGGCAGTTAATTATCCTATCTGTTCTGCTTACTCTTGCGAATCTAAATATTTTGTATCTAGATCATACTTTTAATGTTTTCTCCCAAAATTTTAGCATGTGGTCTAATGTGTTCTGATGTTTTATTTTTTCACAAAATTTATAACAACATGTAGCCAATAAGATCCAGATATCTCCTCTCTCTCTCTTTTTTTTTTTAAAAAAAAACATTTTGTTCCAATTAGATTCCCAGTACTGGAACATAACCAACTAATATGATTGTTGTGCATGTCCTGTCTTAGAGTTTAGATTGCAGATCAGATTTGCATTTATTTCTCAACTGTAAGCTACAAATTTTAGAGTGAACTAAATTGAGTGAATTTTTTAATGCCATTAAAAATAATGAATTTAAAAAAATTCCACAGTAATGAGAAATACTAATAACTTCTTAATAGTAAAGAGTCCATAAAAATTTCTTTTAACTCATGGTTGTTTTTTGTTAATGATTTCTTTATTTAGCCCTTTCAGTCATTGGTATTTATCTTATTTATCAACGTATTTTTCTGTCATGAGTTACAAGGTATTTTTGCCTTCCTTTCCGTGCCCCTTCATGGTGTAATTGGAAGCATACTTGACACGTGTTTGAGAGGTCCGGGGTTCGAGTCCTAGCGAGGCATTCCACGTTTTTCACATCTCCTGCTTTTTTTTTTAACCAATAGCTCTACAAATGGTGCCCACTAGGACATTGAGTCCCCTCATCTCCAGTCGCTCTTTAAAAGAGGGTGTACATAAGGTATTTTCTCCCTCCTTTCCACTTGTCTTCATGGTGTAATTGGAAGCATGCTTGGCGTGTATTCGACAGGTCCAGAGTTCGTGTCCTGGCAAGGGCATTGTACATTTTTCATGTCTCCTGCTCCAAAAATAGTCTAATGATTCTACAATGTATTTTCTCAGAAACGTCCCTGTTTAAGCAAAAAATATTTTTGTAAGGTTACAAACTGATTATATCCAGTCTTGGACGTTTGCGATAGCTGTATCAAATAACATTTAATCTGTGGGAAATTGAACCGGACCAAAAAGCTTGTTTATTATAAGCTGTTTGCTCTACTGGAATTCGACTGTATTTAATTACTGTATTCACTACTGTAATTAAAAAATTTTCATTTTCTACCTAATTTAACTAATCACATTTATATGCTTGCAGTGACCTTTTATTAGTAACACCTACATACACATGTATGTTTAGGTTATCGCAATAAAAGCACCGGATTTAATATGCCCAAAAATACACTTTATTCTTAGAAAATGGAAAATATTTTTACATTCTTATGACAGTTAAATGTTCTGATTTACCTTTTTAAGATTGTCATGTTTGATTTGGCCTGGTAGCACTGGCATTTTATCAGTGTTAGTTCATTTTGCAGCTTCATGGCAGTTTGATTGAAATGGGGCGCTACATAAAGGAACATAAAGTTTTGATTCTGAAAATTCATTGCAGGAATAGATAATGTTATGCAGATTTTTAGAAAGCTTCTTGCAGTCTGTGATTGTGAATGTGCAACTAGTGAAAAAACAATTTGCTACAATAAAATGGGTTTGACTAAAATTTTTCTTCCTGTCACTCTCTGTACTTGTCAGACACTGTTTCCAGAGTTCTTTGCCCTCACTGTTTGCAGAATTACCTTATCGTAAGGGTAACAAAATCAGTTTTCCAAAGGCACTGTAAATGAATGAATGTCCCTTCTCAAATAGCAGCTACAACGAGAATGGGAGTGCAACTTCTGCACTTTATCTTTTAAGACTTCTACATTCAAAATCTTCCCTTTGGGATAGACACATAATGCTCACAGAGAGTTATAAGAAATGCTTCTTGGCATTATTATACACTGAAAAAAAAAAAAAAAAAAAAAGAAAGAAAGAGATAGAGAGAGAGACAGTTCTATATCTCCCGTTCTACTGGGCCGATTGACGAAATAATTCAACTTGCGGTTTTCATGTCTCGAAAGTGCGACCTAGAATATATATTTGAGTTACATATAGCATTGTTCTGATATAAGTATTTTGATATTCATATTTTCGGTTTTACAAATATAGAATTTAATGAATCTATTATTTAAATAATATTATTCCAAATTTTGAAATTCTAAGAAAAAAATTTATTTGTTCTTAAATCGTCCACATCAGCAGCTCATTACTATTTATTAAACAGTTGGTATTAAGCTTATTATCTGAACAATTGATGTAAATTAAATATTTGTTTTTAAAACCTATAGTCATGATACAGTTAAAAAGTATGTGAATCAGAAAAACTCATTTTTTGGTATGCAAAATATATTATTTTTAAAAGTGCTTTAACAAAGAAACTAATTTCTGTATTAGTTTTGAAGTTTTTCATGAAACTAATGTAATCTAGCAAAGAGATTTAATGAGATAATGCATTTCTGCCATATTGAAATAAATTTAAAAATATCAAAAACTACATGACATGTGCAGCACAAAGTTTTCTAAATCCTGTGGTACTACACATATCATAACAATTCAATTAGTTTATCTTTAAAAATATAATTTTGAGGGATGTTTCAGTTTTATATGTCTTATAGATAAGAATTACAGACTGTAATAGAATATCTGTAGCATTTGGTATATAAATCTAGTATTTATTTTAACAAACATTAACACAGGAATCCATGTCATTTTCTTTTAAATGTATAGTTTTTTCTTATAAAATGAACAAACTATTTAGAACCCAGGCCTTTAATCTCTTTAAAGCCAAGTTAAGAATGCTTACTTACATTTTGTGTGTTATACATTCATTTTACTTTGCATGGTTACCAGAATCATTTTAATTTTGAATCTTCCACTTATAAGACACAAATGCTCTTTGAATTTAAGTAGATATGTTAGATTTAATATCAGATGTGTTAACATAACCAAGCATATTTTGATATCCCTATATATTACATACATCTATTATACTCTGTTTGATTCAATTCTTATTTTTATTCAAATAATGCATAAAAAATATATATGGAAATTTTTTAGCACCTTTTTATATTAAAGTCCACACTAACATTAGTTTTTCTTTCTTATTAGGGCCCACCAGCGGCAAAGTCGCTGAACTCTGGTAGTTCGGTCCGAGGTTCGAATCCCGTGACGGCGGCTGCATGGCGTTTTCGTGGTTTTTCCCCATGTGTACTGATACGAGCAGTTTCATTAGAAGTCCTCCACGAAGGCTTTCTCCTCTTGGCAATGCCATCGAGGCTTTGCCATTATCACAACACACACACACACACTTTCTTATTAGGTTTTGCAATGTATTAATTGTGCACTTAAATTCACGAAAAGTATTCAAAAATATGGAATATGGTTAAGATAATTGAAAAACTCAGAATTGTAAACACAAATATCCAAATGGATACAAATTCTCTTTTGAATTTCATATGGCTAGTAAATCTTTGAAAACAAATGAAGTCATATTTCAAAGAATGCATCTTCTTTGATATTTTATTTTAAAAACATAGTTGTAAAATTTGCCTTTCATTCCTTGAGTGGGTCGATAAAATGAGTACCAAGTTTCACTTGGGAGCCTAAACACTGAGGGATCCCGCGACAAGCTCACCACTTGTCCAGGGCATATGCTGATGCATTCCATGGCCCAAAGTCAAGGTCCTGTAAAATATATTTTAGTCACTGTCCTAAAAGCAAAGAAAATAAATTACAGATTATGTATAAGAATTTAAGTTTTGCTTTAAAACATTTATCCAACTGAAGCCAAAAATTTACTGAATAATTTCCATGGCAGTTTTAAAGTATACTGCATTTAAAGTCCATGGTTTAAATGTATGAAAAAATTTCAGTGCATTCATTTTTATTTTATTATAATAAATCAGAAGTGCAGTAACTTGCACTATAAGGTTGATCGGAAATTAATGCATAGGAGTATACTAAAATCTGGAAATTTTGCAGATAATATCTTGATATTATGCCCTTTCTTCTATTTATCTTGGTACTATATCCTTGCATTATTTTGTTATTTTTTTACTGATGTGAACTGAAACTCCGTTTCAAAATCTGTTTAAATTCACAGATGGGAAAGAAATCTTATAAAAAGTATACAAAATAAAAATATCTAAACTAGTAATACAACAGTGCTACATGTGAATAAAATACATATATAACAACATAAATAAAGTCAAGTCTTATTTTCTTGTAATTTAGAGGGGGGAAACCTGTTTCTTCCAGCCACTTTTTTCCATAGATTATTCCACTGTGGAAGAGACTTGCAAACTCTCACTATCATGTTCTCGATAGATATTGAGCATCTATTCTTTAAATCGTAAGATTATCGATATTTGTTACCTGCTAAACAATCTCCTCGTAATGAATTGTACATAAATCTTCTAAGAGGTTTTTCAATTCTATATTATATCAAGATTATTTCTGATTGGTAAGGATAAAAGCAAACCATAGCTCTCACTTTGGATATTATCAAGTTCGCCAAATGTAAACCAATCTTCTGCCATTTTAAAAAGATTCTTCAGCTATTTTTCCCCAAAAAATAAGTTATGGGTTTATAATTTTTATTAACCTAGGTATTGGTAACACCCTGATGACCACAAAATTAAAATTTTCTTTGACCTTTGCAACTAGTAAGATCCAATGATTTCCAATTTTAATAGGAAGGAAAAGTAATTCCACTGTAGTTAGCTGAGCTTCACTCCATGTATTAACTACTGAATTCTTCGTCAATATATTGTATATGGCAATACTTAAAAGCCAGTGATTTTGAATCTAAAATATTAGAAAAGGTATGAATAATGCTATCAAAAAGCCAGCCAGTTTAAAAAATGCAAGATATGTGCTTAAAATTTCAACTTTTTTGGCTGGTATCAGAGGATCTAAAGATTTTATTTCTGATAAATTTAGAGCTGTATCACCAAAACGTAGTATGTAATTCCCAGTGGCATGCCGTGGATTTGATCAAAGGAACTAGGTATAAGAAAAAGATAATTTTTGAAACTAAAGCAGTGCTTTGCAGATGTTTTACCATAGAGCTGTGGAGTTAAAAGAGTTTTGATGAAAAATAAAAAGTTATATATATTTAATTTTTAATATTGTATGTCATACAAAAAATTTACATTATATATAAATACTTATCTGAATACTCAAATGTAAAAATATTTATTTCGGAGACGCTGTTTGAATCAAGTTGCCTTCACAGCACAGCTTGTTTGCTAAGCAACCTTTTAAAATCTTGCGGAGACATTCGCGCTGTAAATCATTCGGTGCAAATGTTTCAGCTAGATGTTATTTTTCAGTCTGTTGTGCAGTTAATTCTGTGTGTGTAACAATAAATGAAAATTGCATTTGGGCACTTCTTTTTCCCACTGCAAACCATTCAAGTAGGAGGAAAATGTTGCTGCTCTGTCATATTCTTAAGCTAGAAATTTTTTGTCACGGTGGAAATTTAAAAGCAATTGAAAAATATATTCACCCAAACTATTTGCAGAATAATCGCTACTGACATCTATAAAGCCAAGAAATCTTTTGTGAACTTTTTCATTTTTCACAGAAAAACAGTAGAAAGTTCTAAATAAATTTGCAATATTAGTAGTTTCATCTAACGTTGTTACAAATGAAGCCTCCTTTCTTTCTTGTTTTCCAGTACTTTTTTTTTTACCAATGATGAGCCCTCAGACGACTTCGGCTTATTATGGAGGAACTTAATAGGTAGGCCACCTTTGCCTCCTATTAAAGGAGACGAACAGTTACAACCATACCTTCTCCAGGATTTGAACCCGGGCCTTTTGTTATCGCAGTCAGCTCCCTTAACCACTATACTGTCTGGGAGACTGTTTTCCAGTATTATCAGTAACAACATTTTGAATTTTGTTTGATGTTTCCTAAATGAATTTTTAATTTATTATCCTATTTTAAAAGTACCTGTAAGACGTAGTTTCCCTGATTAAAAGAATTGTATCTTAATCGTTTATTGTAACATCTAAATGGAAACTCTTGTTTTGCCAACAAACAACACATACTAATAAATCACGTCATATTTTCTCTATTTAGATAAACTTCAGCATTATATTTCAAAATATTAATTTTCTGTTGCTTATTTAAAATTCAATCCTTGTTCTTCCAAATATTTTCAATTTTGCTACTGCATATAAATGGTTTTTCTCATGGCGAATTTTGGCTTTAAGAAAATTGTTAATACATGAGGGAAAACAAAGGGAAACCTATGTTGTTCCCAACATAGGTACTGCTTCATATCCTTTGACCAAATATTTAGTTTCCAGATTTTCTCCTCTACTTGCTAACAATATTCACACTGTAAAAAATTCTGTTGAAGTCATTGATAAACTTAAAAATATTTCTCCACTTCGTTCCATTATGGTTTCATTTGATGTCAAATCACTGTTTACTAATGTTCCGGTCGAAGGAGCACTAAATTGTCTTGAAACTAGGCTTCGGGAATTTCACTTCACACATACTGAAATTAATGAGTTGGTTTCGCTTACTAAAGTTTCTCTGAAGTCAAACCCACTTTGTTTTCCAAAATGCATATTTTCGTCAAGTTGAAGGATTGGCTATGGGTAATCCTCTCAGTCCGGTACTTGCTGACATTTATATGCACTATTTTGAGATGAAATTATTTGATAAACTATCTTTTCGTCTTTGGATTCGGTATGTTGACGACACTTTCGCACTTTTGACGGTTATAAAGAGGATTTATCCGAGATTCTATCTATTATGAATTCAATTGATCCAGCCATCCAATTCACTCTTGAAATTGAATCCAACAATTCCCTCCCCTTCCTTGATATTCTTATAATCCGCAATGAAACTGATTTTAGCACCACTGTGTACCGTAAACCCTTTGCAGTTTGTTTACCACCCCATGCCAAGTCATGCCACCCTGTTAAGCAAAAAATGGCTTCTTTTTACTATTATGTATTCCGCGCGCTTAAAGTTTGTTCCTCTGAATCTTTGCTTACCAATGAACTTAATTATTTGAGAGCAGTTGCGATTGACCGTGGATTTTCTCCCGTGATTATTGATAAAGCCGTTAAAAATTTTTCAGATTCCCATCAAAGAAGACATTCCACTGTTAGAAATAATATTAATGACCTTGTCGTGCTTCCATTTTATCCTTCTGTTAGCTATAAAATTGCACGGATTCTCCAGAAATTCAATTTTCAAGTCGGTTTCTCCCCTATTAATAAAATTCACCCTTCGATTCTAAAAGATTGCGTTTTCGTCGTCTTGAATTCTTGGGGAATTTATAGTATATCGTGTCAGTGTGGTTTAAGATATATTGGCCAAACAAAAAGAGCGTTGAAGTTTCGTATCAAGGAAACATGAATCTTATGTCAGAAAAGGCGGAAATTAACAAGTCTTCAATAGCGTATCATAGTTGGACATTTAACCATAATTTTGACTTTGGGTCTGCAAAAAATTATCCAAAAGGCTTCTTCCATAGGTGAATTGGATTTTCTTGAGGCTTTTACATTCACAAAGATTTAGCAGTTTACTTAATGATTTTAAGTCCAATCCAGTCCTTCCTAATGCCTTTAAAATTCTACTATCTTAATTCAATTATATTTTTGCCGATAGATGGCGTTACCTCCTCGCGTTTGGTACTACCAGAGGGTATAAAAAATCCGTTCAGTGGTTGCTTTCCATTATTCGAAGTTCAGATTTTGAGGTGAAGTTGCAGTTGCCCTCGCTCCCCTATTTTAACTTCGCTAATTTTTGTCCTTTGGGTTACATGTTTTGATCAGATAGCCTGGCTCAGTAAAAGTAGGCGGCCAGTGAAACTCTGATTAAAAATCCGGTTATAACCACGTGCAGTGCTGATAAGAATCACATGTTTCTGAGACTCCTTCCCCTTTAGTTTTCTTCTGATGAGGAGGGACCTTTAGCTGCCCTCAAAATCGATTGAGTGTTTCAATATACTTATGCTAAATACAAGGTTGTTTTTACGATTCTGATTGTCACATTAGCGTATTTCTCTTCTAGTCTACACTAACATAGTTTGAATAATAAAAGATTCCCTGAATCTTTTTATAAATACTTATTTCCACTACACAAATCATATAGACAGCTATGCAGAATCAGACAAAAAAATGTAAATGGCAATTCTACAACTTTTTCATTTTAATAAAATTCCTTACACTTAATTTATAGATCCATAAACAACTTAACTTTACAATGGAAGTACTGCAATATACTCAGGAGTAAAAGTTAATAATAAGCACCAATAAAAAGAGGTATGTTGCTCAATTTTGTGAACACTATTTTACATAGGCCCCAGTTTCATATAAAAATATTTAAGTGCAAATATATTACATATATTATTACACAAAATATTTCTCACTTATTAAAGTTTTTACTCATATTACAAATATTACATCTTAATTTAGAACTTTGTCAATGTCTACAGAAAGGAGAAAAATAAAGATTATTATAGTCAGAATTTCATATAAAATATTTTTATATGTATATATATATATTACATGAATTATTATACAAATCAGTCTCTCTTTTATTACAGAATTTTATCCACACTTCAAGAATGTAATGATACATCAGAAAGTTGTGAATTTAAGACACTTTGACTAACTTCTTGCATTTCTATAGCTCGTTGAGGTCTGTGCCTTTGAATTAGATAAAGCCTCATTACAGATGCAATGAAGCTCGCAATCACAAAAATTCCGCAAATTACAGGTACGGCTGAGAACAGTCGAAATCCTTCAAAATCACTAAAGGTTACAGCATCTTCTGGATCAATTCTGAAATATAAAAAGTATAAAGATGAAAAGGCTTTGAAACAATAATTTTTTTTTTAAATTTTTTCCCCCTTTTTAAAAATATTACTTATTTCATGTGCGACTGTTCATAATTTTAAATACAACTTACTAAAGTTGTATTTACTTTGTTTTACAACTAATTGTGATATAAATGTTATATATTATACCATACTAACATATTTCTTTTATTTTTATAACATTAATAAATTCTTTTGAAGATAAAAATTTGTTCATAAAACTAATCTCTCCAACCAATTCTCTGTTCGTATATATGATTTCAGTCGAACTCTTGATTTAATAGAGCTGATAATTAACAAGGCTTTGTCTAAAAAAGCATTTATACTGAAAGAGATACTGCTAATATAAAAATTAGGCCCAAAACAGTCTTAGCTTGGAGCAAATTTTTAATAACTCTTATCAATTTTAAGGGTAATTAGACACCGGTTCCTGTTCTTTAGTAGTAAAATATAAGAGGAGCACGACTATTTTGAAACAACAAAAGCAATGGGTCCAGCACAATGAAAATGAGCCATAGTGCCATTTTTGAGGCAAAAATAATAGAAATAAAATGTAAAGGATGTTAGAATTCTGTGTGGATGAATTGTGTTAGGATGAACTGGATTGGAACTAATATTATATAGCAGGGAGGGTCAAACTTTAAGATGACGGGAACCACATGATAGATTTTATGAACTTTCGAGAGCCAAATTTATATTGTTTAAAAATAATGAGACAGATTTTGAATATAAAGAAACTTTTGAAATAAATTAATGAATGTGTGATTAACACAATTACACATAACCATAAATAAATACATTTTATACCTACTGTTTTGTGTTTAGAAAAGTTAAGTCACAAGAAAATAAAAGTTTGTAACTCTTGTACTGGCCAACTAAGAGTTTTTTCTTCAGGTAAAGAAACCAAATATTTCCTTCTGATTTCCTTTATACCTCTCAGTTTATAATTATTGTTTTATTTCAGTAGAAGTGAAATGAATCAGAAGCACTAGTCTACAATTACATAAAAAATGTTATTTGAGTAAATTAAAAATCATTATTTAAAAGAAAATTGAGTGTTTTTTTCAACTCATGAGCAGTCTTTTAAAAAAGATAAAAGAAATAATACACATCAATGTGCTCTCCACAGAGACTGCTATTCAAGAAAGGATATTTATTTAAAAATAAGCTGTTAACTTATTTAGGCTTTTGTTTAAAAAGTAATTTTATTTCTTCACACAATTAACATAAGGACCAACATACTGAAATCATTCGAATCTTTGGATCCTAACCTAAGAAATCATTAAACATTTTTGCCCCAAACTTTGGAATAACTACTTTCACTGATGCCAGTATAGAAGAATTCACACACACACACACAAAAAGAAGTAGATTGCAATTTTACTAATTTAATTATCAGTATCTCTCATCACAGCCCTGATTGATACAGTATTTCAGCATAGCATCCAACAAAATCTGCCAGAAGTTTTTAATAATTAGTATACGATGCATTATTGAAAATTCTCGAAATTATCTCTCGAATTGTCCTGATAATTTTGGAGACAGCGAAGTACATGAGCATCACTTAAATTCATCAAAAATCCCTCTTGAAACAGTACAATAATTCTGGACATACATAACCTGTCATTCATATATCATGACGGGCGACATAAACGCTTCGTCGAACACATATTCGATCTATCTACCACCGAACTCTTCAACCTAGCTGTTTAATTTTGAGATGTTTTTCAAATACATGGCAAATCAAAATTAATGTACACAAAGAAAACATACCTCTACCACCGAACTCTTCAACTTAGTTGTTTAATTTTGACCTGTTTTTAAAATACATGGTAAATCAAAACTAATGTACAGAACGAAAACATACCTCTCACTATTATAGTGAATTTATTTTGCAAATGCAGATATAACATGAAAGTGTAACTCTTGATATTTCTACAGACATGCAGAGATGTTCGTTGCTGAGGCCTTTTGTTATACGACAGATGTCTGCACAATAGTTTACATCTTGTTTTTCAATAGTTTCACAATAGTCTTCTTCTGCACAATAGTTACTTAAAGCTCTTGCCAAATAGGCGGATAGATCCACCATATTCTAACTGTTGGACGCAAAAAAGCAGTCAAATGACTTGCCATCTTGCTTTGAATTTCCAAGTAAAATAACTCAGAAGAAAGTTTAAAATAAATTACTGCCAGTCTAACAGTTACATAGTACAACTTTCCATTGGGTTACCTAATCTGTGTACAGAAAACAAATCTCAAATGGAGTCTATAAGAGAGGATACTTTAGAAAATAAAAGATCAGACTTTAAAAATCAACGTTTATGGGAGTAAAATTTCACATTATTGTCTGAACTTCGTAGTGATCAAGCAGTGGATCATTGTACAACTTTTTGTTTGGCTACTAAGATTTCATGAAGGACATGTCAGATGTATACGACGATCGAAAGTTAGGAAGACAGAAAATATCAACAGATTAACCTTTCAGCATGCGTGCTTGGCAATTTTAAGGCCATCAAACAAAAAATACGAGAAAATATCACAAGTTAAAGAGTTGTTACCAATATCAATATGCTGATTTTGACAGAAACTTTGGGAAAGAGAGAGGTTTGTGTGCTGTTGATCCCTCATTACTTGCTGCAAAGTTATTGATTTGAAGATTTGATGATTAAGGTGAAAGATCTCTATCTGAAATAACAATATTTAGCAAATTGGGAATTAAACATTTTAATTAAAATTTAAATCATTGTTAAACCAGGGATTCTTCCCATGACTCCAGTTATTTCAGCATGCACAACCATTGGTGAAATAAATTATGATATCTGCCTAGGATTAACAGGGTATTATTACGAAAGGCAGTGTTTCATGTGGGAAAAATGTACATTGAGCATATTATTATGAATAGTTGCAAACTCTGTGATGCAATTGCATAAAAATGCCCAATTTGCTTAGTGACAGGAAATTAATTTTGAAGGAGTTCCGCAGAAAATTGAGATAAGTCTCGTAACCAAATAAGAGGCTGAAGGTTCACACTACCAAAAATAAAATCCCCATAAAATTTTTTCACAGATTAAAAGAACTGACCACAAGGCAAAACAGGTTTCTTCAGCAGTTACTCATGCCATTCAAGGATGATAAAGTAGTATCCGACAACCATAACAAATCTTCAAGTGAATAAATGTAGTGAACAATGGGATACACAGGAATAAGCAGTATGCCTGAAGTAATTAACTGATAGAAAATTTTAAAGTATCATTCCGTGAAAGAAAATTTGAGAAGTATTTTGGGGCATAAAGTAACAAATCTGGAGACGAGAACTAACTCTGAACTCTATAAATCCTTAAAGAAATAGATTATAGAAAATATATAGGATCGCGAATTAAATGGGCAGGACATGTGCAGATGGATAAAATCAAGAATAAGAAGATCTCCGGCCAGTCCATTTGGCCCCAAAAGAGGGAGACCAAACTAGGGGCTCGACTGTTGGAACAAGCTAGATTTAAAAAACCAATGGATGCCATGGCAGGGAGAGAAGAGTGGAATTTGATCGGAAGGCCAAGGGCCCATACTGGGCTGTCTGGTCATTGAAGAAGAAGAAAAAATATTAGGGAGAATAGTTAAATAAAAATATTAGCATTGCGCTTTAGATTAACTTCGTATTAGTGTATTCCAATAAATATTACCATTCAAAAAGTAACATAACCAGAATAGTAATTGCCACAACTAGAATTATTTGTAATTTTAAATATTTACTGCTCTGAAGATAAACCAACAGTAGACAGTTTGAAAATTATCAAATTTTTACATGCTTTATATCAGAAATTAAATTATCGATTAACAAAGAAATGCGGCACTGCATAATTTCTATTTCAAATTTCGTTTGTACTAAAACATTAAACTATATTTATTTAAAACAAGTCACATTTCAGATGGCAAAGGATCAGAAGTAGCTCGTGAACCGTAGTTAAGTGTTGGAGAGCTGCATGTGGCGGCTAATGTGGCTCTAGCCATGTCTGTTATACAGTTTCCTTTGACACAAAATTTTTAATACTCTTTCAGTTTGAAAGTATGTTCTTCGAGATACAAATTCTCCAAGAATTAAAATCAGAGATACTAATTTTGTTTCTTGCCTAATTTAAAAAGGTTCTAATGTAAATTTTTTTATTGTGGAACAATTACTATCACAGACCACTGGAGAAAAAGTCTTCTGGAAATGCAAATGGGGTGAGAAAATAGTAGGGACTGCAGACGATGTAATAATTAGGAATTGTTCTTTATCCACAACAATGTGTATTTTAACAGAACAAAATCTGGAATATATACATCTTGTTAAATCATCCATCCATTTAAAATAAATTGCTAAATAACATAAATAGATTAAATGCACAGCTGTTTCACAAACATAAGAAAAATATAAACAAAAACACTGTTTTTCCTATTTTGATGTGCATTAATTCTTCCGATTTTGAATCTATATTTAATGGAACTAAACTTATTCCCCAATTTAGGTAAATTATCAATATCATTTCTTGTTGAATTTAAGATAGGTTACTTCTTTTTCCTATATATTTTTTTTTAACTGCTATTAGATTAACTGCAATTTTGGATTAATTGTGAACATTGTGGACATTTAATCAGATGTCTAATATGCAATGATGCCAGACAAATACATTACAAATATGTAAATCCATTAATTTAAAAAAAAAATCAAATGGATATGACAGAGCTTAAAGTAGCAACGGTACAATAAGCTACTAGATTATTAGTCTAATAATTTATTTTTAATTTAAAAAAGGAACATGACTCAAGTTGTAACTATATTAGAAATGACTTCATATTTTCATATCATAGCTTTTATTTATTCATAAGAAACAATTTATATCAACAGTTTGACTGAAAAAAAAAAATTGATACTTACGGTACTTTTTGTTAGCATAACTACCTTGGTGCAGTTTGGCAGTACTTTACAGATGAAAAGATAAAAGTTATTTAAGGGATGTAAGTTGGTGGTTTTCATGACTTTTTACAAAAGATTTCTGAACTATCAATATTTATTGAACGTATGAAATGAAAGCATACTTTAGCAATTTAAAATGCAAATTTTAATTATTAAATAAGATTATATATAAATCTTACAAAATAAAACCTTGCATTCTATCAAATATTTCTGCAGTTTTTTTTTTTTTTTTTTTTTTCTATTTTTCTCTACGGGTGCAATCTGTTTTCACTTAAAAAAACATCGGCACCGCAGAGACTCGTTATTGCGGAAACCTCTGCAACACTGGCTATCTATTGAATACATCTCCTTGTTGTTTTCTTTAGAAATTTTAAGTAAAATTCTGTATTCCTGCAGAAATTTTACCATAGTTTTTTCCATTGATGGCCAATTCCAAATGCACATATTTTAAAACTGTGTTTAAGACCAAAAATATCACAGATTTGTTTATAAAACCATTGATACTTGGGATACAAAAAATAGAATGCATAAGAAAATCATGATGATGCTTGATTAAAGGATTGTTATGACCATGGTTGCCTGAAGAATGGTTATATGTACTGCTGCCACTGGCACATTTTGAAAATTTGGCAACTTCTATTAAGGCAGCTGCAATAAGATGTAAGCACCAAATTTTTTTGATAATTTAGCAAATAAATGGTTTTATATATGCACTATTAGAAGATAAATAAGAAAAACTTACAAGATTGTATTAGATGATACAGCAATATCTTCCCTTCCTTGTAGGACATGCGTGAAAACACTGTTTGAAAGAAATATTTGAACTTTTTTAATAAGAGATCCTAATTCTTCATCGGTCATAGCTTTTGGAGGACAAATGGAAAAGTCTAAATAGATCTGTTTGAACACAGATAGTGTTGCATTAGTAATATAGTTCACTGGAATTTCAAGCTTGGAAGCAATAGTCCATATAGTGCTAATCTTGAAATTCTTAAAATTGTTTCCAGTTAAAAGTTCATCAAATGTTGGTCTTGTAAAATATATTCGAATAGATATAACTAACAAAGAGAAAAAAAAAGTTAGTAACATTGAGACTTGCATTTTATAGAACATAAGTATTGTATTTACTTGAAAATTACTCTCCTATATATATATATATATTTGGCTACACAGCAAGAGCTTGGAAAATATCAGATGCTGGATATGTGAAAATTCCAGTTAGTTGAGCATATGAAAAATGCACTTCGTGCCTGAGGCGAAATGCATAGAAGAAACAGTCTTAAATTATAAAAACAGTCACTTTATTTGTTACCAAAAGTTTAAATTGAAAACTATGCAAGATTGTGAAAAAATGCATTTCAGATATCAATGGTTTTGTAGGTTTTAAACATATAAAAAGGACAATTATGTATTATATGAAATATTGTTGACCATGAATATAGGCACAGTGTCCCCCCCCCCAAATCTGTGCCGATCAATGCTAAGAAATTTAAAGATACAGATTGTTCTCTATTTAGCACATAATCAACTCATACCGGTTATGGATATAATACATAAAAAACTTTAATTGCTTGTCATTAATTTTTCACATTGCATCACCACCCTTTATCCATTTTCAAATAAAATCATATATGATGCCCATTAATACAATTTTTCTTGATGATAGGATCCTGTAACTTTGAAATTACTCCACTGCATACCATTCCATAGAAGGAAGGTCTAAAATTTTAATCATTTTTCAAAATATGTGGGAAAGATAGAGAACAGAAGTTAATTTATATTCTTTACAGATTAAAACTAGTTTATCGGGAATTAATCAGGTTTACATTACTGCATTTGCTGCCAACTAGGAGAATACTCATAGTTGAAAAATGAGTTTATTTGATAAACTTGTTGTAATCTATGAGATAACTTACTACTATTCATCTTACATCAATCACCAAGTGCAAATACCACACTAGTAAATGCATGCAATGTTTAGATATTCGGCACACAGGAAGGGGATAAATAATACACTTGGTGTATTGAAACGAATCCTTTATTTCTCAAAACATAGATACAATAACTGAAAAACTAAGATACAATAATTAACCATTTCTTATTGAATATTATTTATTTATTTTTGATTTATTCACTTGGGGGAAATGTTATAAATGAACATCTCAAATTCCTGTTCTATGACACGTGTAAAAGTAATGGAAAATAATGTATTGAACATGCAGGAATTTTGTGTGAATGCACTGAACATGCGAGTATTTTAAGAGGTGTTTATCCAATTTTGAGTTATCTGGTAGTTGGCACAAGAGCAAAAATATTATTTCATATGCTAGTTTTTGTATACAGTGAATTCATTTACTGCTTTAAGTAATCTGTGCTACACTTATATTTAAATAATAAAACAAGAAATAATAATTTAAAAACACAAAAGTGCAAATAGGATCTGGGCGCATGCAAAGAAATGCACTACATCAACTTCGGCAATGAACATACAAGTATTAAAGCATAGCTAAAATCTTATGATTGTTTGGGTTGTCATGCTTATCTCTTACTAGCACTAAATTACGCTGTTTGGTGATAATTTTCATTTGCAGAAAATGGTTTGATGAAAAATATGCCAACAAAGCACCTCCAGATCCAAGGACAAATTCTTGAAATGATATGATGGATGCAACTGCATATGTGTGCCTGGACAAGATTTTAAGCAATATCCTCTGCTATAAACTGCATTCACATTTCAGATGTTACAAGCAGGTAGAAGTGTCATATGTGTTTTATAATACCTTTACAAGTCTCTTACCTGCATATATTGTGCTATGGAAATTTTTTTAAAAATGTCTGAATTTTTTGTTAAGAAAATTTTTATATATATATATATATAAACACTGAAACTCTGAAAACTTTCAGATTTTATATTATGCCCAAATGGGCATTCGCTTCCCCCATAAGATACATACACATTCCAGAGCATTTAGGGTATGACCTATTGTGCTAAAAAATTAAAACAGCGTATCTTTAGAATTCCAATAGCAGTCTCATATGGATATGAAAATGTTTTTTTCTACAGAGTTGTCACTGCCTGCGGTGAATTATTGACTTTTATCAAAATGTCAAAAATGAAACCAATAAAACAAATTCAAATTCGGGCTCTATTGCCATGTTGGGTGGAAGATTAATTATTCAAATGATGGCTCTTAGTACCATGTTTTTCACTGTGTGGAAACATAAACATAATGAGATCTCAATTATTTAGTTTCTTTAAATATAATACAGGGTGATAATATTTGATGGCAATAATTTGAAAAATTATTTGGACTTTTAAAGTGATTCGACATGAAATGCTGGTTTCAGAATAATAGCCCTTTTGGGTTAATGCACATTTGGGCTAAATATTCTCTTTGGTCAGGTTTTTATTATACTTTTATTCTAAAATTCAAGAAGATCTTATAATCTCATATTTTCATAAAATAATTGCAAAATGAAAGATGTTTAATTATTATATTATATAAATTAATTATACTTTTTAAATACTAAATAAATTATGCAGGTAATTATAGTATATATAAACCATATAGAGTCATTTGGTTATTTTGAAGTAGGAAACATGAAAAATGAGCAACACCCTTGTCGGGACTCGAACCCTAGACCTCTTGAATACACGCCAAGTGTGTTAACCGTTACACCACGAACGCATGCCAAAAGGAGAGAGAAAATTCCTTACATAATCCCCCTTTTAAAGAGCAACTGGTAATAAGGGATCCAATTGCAAATCTTGGTGGTGAAGAATCATCATTTACCACCTTTTAGTTTGGGTGCCACTGTAGTTGCATTGGGATTTTTTGAAGCAGAAGACATGAAATATGTGCAGTGCCTTCACTGAGACTCGAACCTTGACTTCTCGAATACACACCGAGCGTGCTAACCATTACACCACGAAGGCATGCTGAAACTAGGGAGAAAATACCTTATAATTGTGTAGCTACCATTAATTATAAATATTTCTAGTTAAGTAATTTCAATTTAAGCCTGTTTCCACTTTACTAACCCACCCTCAAAATATATAGGTAACAACAATGTATCAGTAGCAATGTCCTGGGGCCACGTGTAATATTACTGTTATTTCAAGAAAAATTTAAAAGAAGGAAGGAACTAAAGTTCTCATTCTTAGAATTACTGCAAGACAAATATTCAGCTACACTTTTATTTCTTAAAATCATCCTTCAATGTAGGGAGAATCTTACAATCAAGTGGGCCTTATTTTCAAGTAAATACAATAATATTGCAACATTTTTATTACAAATTTTTTTTTAATTATTAATCTGTTAACTGGGTATGACGAAATTTTTCGTCATGCGGGAAGACTATGTCAATGGATGAGAAATGTTTCGTCATGCTGGGAAGACTATTATTTAGGGGTTGACGAAATGTTTCGTCATGCTGGAAGACTATTTCAATGGGATGAGAAATTTTTCTTCATGCTGGGAAGACTATTTCAATGGGCATGACACATTTTTCTTACATTTTTTGCATCTGTCATTGACTGTGTTCAAGAAAAATCAATCAGTGGAAAACCTGTCCACTCATAAATTGTGATACACTCCTAATTTGCACAAACTTAATTCATTTTAGTGTATTTCAGTATTGCATATTAGTAATAAATTGTTGATTTGAGTAATTGTTAGTTTTTTAAATATGGATAAAAATTATGTGAAGCAGAAAAATATTTTGAATGTCTGAAAGTGACCGAGAAATATTGCTCGGGAGGTTTGGTAAATGACGTGAATTCTAAGAATAAGTACCAGTTCGGAAGAAGCGTAACGACTTCTTTACTGATGGTCCGGACATGAATCAAAGGATGATGAGTTATAGACCAAAATACTCAACCGACATCAGCGAATGGAAATGTGAAAGAATATTGCGATCGCCTTTCACATTTTTATCTCAATCTAGACTTACATTTGAAGGACCTGAAGAAAAGGATTGCCTTTTATATTTCGAGAAATTTATCGATGGGAATTTTGTAGAACTTATTGTGGAACAATCAAACAAATACGCCGGACAGATTTTTGAAAAAAAAAATACTTCCATGAAACCGCGTTCAAGATGTCTCTCGTGGGTTGACACAAATGACCGAGAGATGAGAGTATTTATTTTTTTACTAACTTTGCAAGGAATAATAGGAAAACCTTCTTATCAGCTTTATTTCACAAAGCCAGAAAGTCTGAAGACTCCATTTTTTATAAAATTATGTCAGAAAAAAGATTCCAACTCTTAGTAAAATTTTTACATTTTAGTGATAACAATGCTTTCGATCTAAAAGTGTGCTACAAAAAAACCTACAAAATCGATTCTATTTTGAACTATTTGAGAAAACAAATTTCAAAATGTATACGTACCAGATAAGGAAATATCTGTAGATGAGTCTTTTGCTATGGAAAGGAAGACCGTCTTGGAAACAGTACATTCTATCGAAAAGAAGTCGATTTGGTGTTAAATTGTATAAGATAGTGAAAATAAATCGGGATACATAAGTGATTTCATTATATACAGGTAAAGACATGCAGTATGGTTCGAACTATCCAGAAGAACAGGACCATATCGTATTGTTCTTGATTGTGCCACGATTTGTTGGATAAGGGATATACGCTATATCTCGATAATGGTATACTATACTGATTCTTGAGAAGATTGCAGAAAAAAAAAAACGAGTGTAGAACAATGCGAAAAAAAAAAAAGGGAATACCATCTGATATCAAAAATTGTGTTTCAAAAAAGATGAACATATTGCTAGGTTCAGAGACAAAATAATGATTATGAAGTGGAAGACAAAAAGGATGTAATATTATAAGAGTACTATCCACGGCAATAAATTTGTAGAAATAGAAAAACGAAGGAAAACGATATCAAAACGAAGTTATCGCTGACTACAACAAAATATGGGACGAGTTGATCTTGCTGACGGACAAATGAAAACTTATGAAAATCGCTAGAACCAAGTAAAAAAGTATTACTATAAGAATTTTTACATGCACTAGACATGGTGGTTTGAATGCATATCTTTTATACAAGAAGATGGCGGTCTCCTAGATAGGCTTATTTCCTTATCGAAACTGTAGAAAAGGTGTTGAAAAATATAGGACGGATCGCAGTTGCCATCTACTAGTACAGGACGATCATCTTTGACACCAAAACCATCTCGACTCTTTTGAAAGACATTTTGCAGACTATATACCATCCGACTCTTCAAGAGTTAATGTAACGAGGAAACGCACATTGTGCTATTCCAAAGGTCTTAGGGAATAATCGAGATTTTGGTGTCCCGACTGCAGTGTTGCTTTGTGTATGCCGCATTCCTTTAGGGAATATCATACGAAATAATTGTTTAAATTCATTCAATTAATTTGTTTTTATGGATTAAAAATGTTTAATTTTAATATTTAATATCATTAAATATTTTAATGCGATATTCTTTTATTTATTCCTTGCAATGTGCTGAAATTACTGCAAAGGAAAAAGTCCCCATTGTGAAACGATTTTACTGAAAGCTTATTCCCCAGTTAACAAGTTAAGAATTACACACTCTATTTCAAAAATACTCTTTTTCTTGACAGTAAATAACAGCAAAATATTCTCAATTTTAGATAATCAAAAATAATCTACCATTGAAATCAAACACAAATACATTCAATTTTATTTTAAGAAGCAACATGCTTTATGTCTGTAACTTCCCTAACAGATACTCCTCTTTAACACACATTCCCCATTAATGGATAATTCCTGGGTTGTTGAAATAAACACCAGTGTATTCCCATTTAGTAGACATTTGCTGGTATTGGACATAAGCCTTGGCCATGTGAGAGTAACAAGAATTAAAATTATATATCATTATAAAGTTTATTACTTACCAAAATTTTCCCCTGGATGACAAATTCCAGCTTTCACAACTGACCCTTTAGAATGACAAAATTTACGATCTTGCGGGCAATATACAGTTATGTTACCTATTTCAACCTAAAAAATATATATGAACATAAATAATATATTTTTATCGGATTACAATAACATAAAATGGAAAACTGTTCAGATTTTAAACAGAAAAAAGAGCACAAAAGTGTTAACAACAACATGTACCTTATCTCTGTACTGGCAAGAGAGCCATGTCGAATTTACGAGCACTTCGTACACATTGGATGTTTTACACTTCATAACTAAACATGTTGGCTCAGCCTGAAAGCAGCAAATTATTAAGTATTAAATAAAAGAATGAAGGTAAAAAGTACAATGCATGATAATTTAGATCAAATTCTAATAATATATGAAAATTTATTCTACATCTGGCATTTAAACAATCCATATTTTCAATTAATTTTCTTCATACCTCGAATTTGTATGTTCAATGCACAATCCATAATAGGGGTTCCCGAGGGGTCTAAGACAATCAAGGGGTGAACTGAGGGTCAACAGCCAAATATGCATGGCCAATTGATCGGCATAAAATCCCAATGCTTATAAAAATTATTAACATTGTAAAACTGATAGTTAATTGTTTATTAATATAAAGTTACACAAAGTAAAGCAAGAAAGTATTTAGGGGGAAAATCCTATAAATTAAATATAAGGGACAAAATACAAAAAAAAAAAAAAATTACTTAGTATGCTTTAAAAATTAATAAAAATTTTTAAAATCTACAAATTTTTTATGCAAAAAGTGCAATAGAGGGGGGAAAGAGGAAAATTATGAAGTGCGAAAAACTTTTTCAGAAGATATAAATTTATTTTCAAGCTACTTGCAAAATTAAAAAAATAGATTTTAATGTTTGCTTCCAAGACACTGAAAATATGAATATTCCAGTAGGAATCGTTGAACTGCGATATATTTAATTTTGATATTATGATGGAACAAAAGTTGATTGCATTGAAGGAGGATGTTTAAGCATGAGCCTAATTCAAAACACATGTGTACATTAACTTTTAGGATTTAAAAGTCATCCGTGAGAAATATCCCCAAATAAAAATATTGTTGAATATTTGGGAATGAGGTGGATTAAGAATTAACTTTATGCCAATGATTAAAAAAACCTTCATCAATACATCAAGCACAGCCAACCACATTAATTAAAATCGAAATTTTGTGCAATTAAAATTTGTGATTTAGTTTCAGAAAATTTGTTTATATTTCTAAGATTAAAGAAATAAAAAATAATTATAAAACATAAGTCTAATACAGTCAAAAGTCGTTAATCCGGACTCGTCGGGACTTTGGCGATTCCGGATTATAGATCATCAGTTTAAATCTCGTAAGATGGCATGCAGAAAATCTAAAATGAAAAATATGAAACCGTAATTTATGAAATAAAGAAACAATTATGATCTAAAGGGTATCAAAATATACAAAAAAAAAAAAAAAAAAAAAAAAAAAACTTAATATTTATTGTTTACTTTATTAAACATTTCTTTCAATGTAAGTTGTTTAATTGGCTTCGTTTTATGTGATAATACTTTCTCTTCAATTCTATAAACAGACATAATTTCTTGTTCAGTTACAAAGTTCCGCTGTTCAAGTCCCGTAATTACCGTGCCGAGAATACCGACTAACTTGTCAATCGAAATTTTTTCGTTTTCACTAACCTCTCTGTCACCTTCTTCATGTCTTTATCTATTTTTGCAGCAATTCCACTTTTTGTTTGATGGACATCGAAACTTACTTTCGTTTTGTAGATCCTTTGGGAGCTCCAGCATCGTAAATTCTATTTGACATAATCGAAAGTTCAAGTTTACTTCTATAGTATTGCTCTTACAGTCTGCAAAAAATAATAAGCCGGATCTAATTCGAAAATTAAGGAACAACGCAATCATCAACATTAACTGAAATAGATAATTAGATAATTTTAGCATATACCGTCCGTTATACATACAACGCGCACGCGAAAACGTATTCTGTGCTTGCACACACGCATATGCGCAGACGTAAAAGGTCTTACGCGCACACATCAACGCCTATGCGCATGTGTCAACGCGGCGCATGCGCACAAAGTTTTTAGCTTTGAGGTCCGGATTATGGGTGTCCGAATTAACGACTTTTGACTGTATTTTTTTCCAAAACTTCTATTTATATACTTAGTTCAATTGTTATCCTTAAGTTACTAATGTGTAATTATCTGTACTATGAGTAAACTGAATGCTGTATAATATTACACAGAAAAATATATTTACAACCAGCTTGAATAAAGACTCAATGAAATATATGGAAATTGCCACCTTATAGTAATTTTGAAAGCTTGAAGTGGTCATTTGAAAGCAAAACATAGTGTTTCTATATGGAAAGTGCAAAGAACTTTGATGGCACTATCTTATGAAACACTATTAAAAAAAGCTAACAAGGTAATTGTACAGAAAACTGTTAGGATTTAAAATGTATGCATATATGTGAGACACACATATTGTACTAATTTTTTTATTAAATTAAACATATTATATTTACTATGTCGATTGTATAATTTCTATATGGCATCCATTCTGTAAAATGATGATACCATGAAATCAGTAAGAAAATACTGCATCCTGTGAAACCACAATATAGTTGTTAAAGAGTTAGCATTTATAATTCTTTTCTGTAATTTGTATACAGGCTTTCTCTATTTGTTTGACAGAATGAAAAAATAACAAGTATTGATAAAAAATATAAACTGTTGAAGTACAAATGCAGTTTTTTTTTTGTAGCATATGTGTTTTTGTCTCACATATATGCATACATTTTAAATCCTAACAGTTTTCTGTACAATTACCTTGTTAGCTTTTTTTAATAGTGTTTCATAAAATAGTGCCATCAAAGTTCTTTACACTTCCCCATATAGAAACACTATGTTTTGCTTTCAAATGACCACTTGAAGCTTTCAAAATTACTATAAGGTGGCAATTTCCATATATTTCATTGAGTCTTTATTCAAGCTGGTTGTAAATAACTGTTCCATAGGGTTTTCATCCGCAGAGAACCCGTTGGCACTTCGGGAAAGAACCTGTTGGAGCCGTTGCATTTTTACTCGCCAAGCTCGCAGTTCATCGACGATGAGCCGAGCCGTAAACGTGATATTTTGTAAACGTGATTTTTAGTGCATGTAAATTCAAGTTAGCAGACAAAACAATATATTAAGCATATGGTAGTAAAAATTCACAGATAATAAGCATGTAGATGTAAAACTAACCGGTTCAACATGATATACGAAAATAAATTTGTATTAAATTTAAGTTAGCACAGAAAAGAATATATTATTAAGCATAAGACATATAAGCATTTATAACGGAAATAAAAATTCATTAAAAAATAATAAATTAGTATTAATATACTGAAATTAACCGGTTAAACGTGATATACGAAAAAAATTTGTCTTAAATTCCAGTTAACACAGAAAACAATATATTCCTTACACCAGCAGTGGTTTGCTAATTTTGATGACCATGATGATGCATCAACTATTCTGTCATCTTAGATAATCAATAATATTTTTTATTTCAATTTAATCATCTATTTATGTCACACCTGCCACCCTCTGAAAGGTTATTGTTAGAAAAGCATTAACAATATATTATCTTGTTAAAATTTTACACCATAAAAATTGATTTATTCTCATAATTTTTAGATGACATTTTTGCGGCCTACGAAAACAAATTATTTTAGAGGTTGGAAACCTCATGTTTCTTAGAGCTGAAAATAATTATGAACCAACGCGGACAGCCATGTTACAAATTAGCATTCACCCCTCCTGCCGTATTTTCTTCCTTTCATCCCGAACCAAGAACCGGCATCTATCTACGAAAATATTTCTATCTATTCGTTGTTAAAAAATTTTATCAAAAATAATAATAAATAAGAGAAGAATAATATACTAAATCTGCAAACGCGAACAATGGCAGTGAAAATTAAACAAAATGAACGCAAGAGGAATGGTTGCAAACTTCGAACAAATGAATAGGTTAAATCCGATGGGTTACCAGGTTTGAACTATTATCGCCAAAATTGGCGATATTTACATTTACCGGGTTCTCTGCGAAAGTGCTTCCGTTCCATAACTGGTGCATCTCAGGTATGTCAGGCAACATAGACATGAATATGTACAAAAGTAATACACATACGAATTTCTGGAAGAAGGTTGGGAAGAGAAAAGCCCAAGTTAAATATTATACTATCATTGTAAAGGGCAGGGCAGTGTTTTGGACAAATACAGGGCAGGCCTTTCATAATGATTTACTTTCTCTTCAGGAATAAGCCTAACTTACATATTTTTCAGTTCACTATTTCCGATACCTTCAAATGAGGATATTTGAAATGCTGTAAAGTCTTCTCATATGTTTTGGAATACTGTAGACCCTAGCTGAAAAGACTAAGCAGTGAATTCTTGCTAGGTCTTGGAAGAACAGATGACTGCAGAAGAAGGTTTAAATAACCTTTTTATTTGAACTTAATATGAACAGAAAATACATTCACTCAATGCTAACAATCTACCACCACTTGTGGCTAACTAACTTCGCAGAAAAATAAGATGTACAATAAAGTAATCTTGGCTGCATGACTGGCTCCATCGTTATCTGCTGCACACAGTAAAGCCGAACCTAGAATATCCATATAATCTAAAGATAGTGGCTAAGCACCAATTATTCACGGACAAAGCTACTTCAAATACGGGCATAAATTCGAACCAACTCTCCTCTCGAAGTCTTAAAACCACTGTCAATTTTAATAACATAGCGTGTAAATTCTGGCAGAAAACTGTCAGAAAGGAAAGTTTCTGAAGTTAAAAATAATTGGTTAGAAAAAAAAAGTTCTTTACAATGCTATGTGCACAGAAATAAGTTTTATTTATTAACTGTTTATCAGACCAGAAAACAGTTTTCCTCAATACTTCATGAAACACTATTTTTTGAAGAATCTTTGCTCTTAAAGATAACAGATAGTATTATGTGGTAAAGTCCTGCGATCATTTCTTTCTTCTCGCTTATTGACTTATCTGATGTACAATAAACATAATGTTGAACAGAACATTTTTGCTATCACTGCAAAATATTGCAACTAGGAATCTATAATTTAAATTAGTACTGGGAAAGAGTATTTCTAGAATCATGTGTCTACAGCATATTTTAAAGTAAAACATATAGCGAGTTGTGGCTTTTTGGGGAATGAACTACTTGGTGAAAATTCAGTACTACTGCAAAAAGAGATGGTGAATAAATAT